TAGCTTTGGAGGCATTGAAAACTACTCGCACTTTAGTGGTTTCGCTTTCGGGTCGTAAAACCGCGTGATGGGGAAGGTAACATGAGTAGTACTTTCCACTTTTAACTACTTCATGAGAGGTTGTGGGCTCCATGTGGTTGAGTGTTCTATATTCTTCGAGAACTTCAGAATATGTGGCCCTAATGTCCTCCTTTTTTGCCAGATTTCGCTCCATACTGAGAAACTTGGACATGCTGGAGTATCGAGAGTGTCCTAAAGCAACGGATTCCGGGAATTGGTTTTTAAATGGTAGCCGAACTTCGTATCGGCCATCTGCTCGTCTGATTGTAGTGGTCCTGTATAACTTCTCACAGATTTCATCTTCTTCCGAGAGTTGAGGCGGGTCCGAGAGGTTTTCTTGTTCCCAGAACTTCTTTAGGAGATCGCTTAGGCAGTCTCCTGTGGTTTCTTCGACTCGTGTCGAAAATGATGTGACTTGGGATTGGACTGGGCCGCTCAAAATCCATCCAAAAATGGTATTTTGTGCTAACAATCCACCACTCACATTTTGTAAGCCTGGTACAAATATTTTCTGCCTATCACCAGATCTATTTTGCCTTGAGTAAAACAGGTGGGATCGGCAAGATCTAAGGAAGAGAATTGGGCAAGATTGATGTTACTCAACCTAAAGGCCGGAAGAAATTGAGTAAGTTGGGGCAGAACTATGGCATTAGTTTCAATTCTTATTCGTTTGTCCGTTGAGCATATTGTTATCAAACAAATTTGATTCGAGTTTTGCACGATTTTACCTCCCATGCCCGATATCTCATAGTGGGCTCTTTTCGTAGGCAGTTTTAGTAAATTTTTCACTCTGGACGAAATGAATGTTTTTTCTGAGCCGGGGTCAATTAAAGCTCGTAATTTATAAACGTCTCCCAAGTGTAAAATTGGTACAATAGCGGTTGGAAGTAGAGTTTTTTCCCTACTGCTTGAGTGATGAGCTTGAACGAATTCTTGTTCTTCTTCAGTATTCAGAGTATTTTGTGCTGGTAGTTGTTGAAGATTCAGGGAATGATTAGAAGGTCTAGCCGTTGTTGTGTGAACTGCCGATTTTTTGGGTTTGGAGTTTGAATTGGAGGTCAAATTAGAGTTGGCGCTTAAATTTGAATTGGAGTTTTGAGTTTGGTTGTTATTTATGTGCAGCATTGAATGATGTGGTCTTTGGCAGTAAACACAAGTAAAGCTACTTCCACATTCCCTTGACGTGTGGGAAAATGCCAGACAATTTTTGCAGTAATTGCTCTTTGATAAAGTTCAACCGCTCTTGAACTGATAGTGTTCTGAATTTAGAACAAGACTTAAGTGGGTGTGCGGGGACCGCTTTGCATAATTTGCATGAGCTGACAAATCTTTGCTCATTATGATAAGCACGCGTTTTTGTAGAGTTTGGGTTCGAGTTAAGAGTTTGAGACTTAGTTGAGTTGAAATTGGGTTGAAAACTTTGAAAATTTGGTTTCTGGGTTAAATAATGATTTGGTTTCGGGTTGGTAGGTCTGTGAGTGTTTAATCTCTCCAATACTTCGTATCGAGTGGTTAGGAATGAGTTCATTTCGGACCAGAGTGGAAGATCTTTTCTCGATGAGAGAGATTGTTCCCAAAGAGCAAGGGTTTCTTCCGGGAGTTTTGAGGTGCATATATGCACTAAGATTGGGTCCCAGTTCGATACGGAAACGCTTTGAGCCCTTAAGATGGAGAGACAGTTATTTATTGTGTTTTGCAGTTTTTGTAGGGAAGCACTATTTTCACTATTAACCGGCTGAAAAGTAAATAATGCTTTGAGTTGGTTATCAACCAGAATTCGGCGATTCTCATATCGCGACTTTAAGGCTTCCCAAGCGATATCAAAGCTTTCATCGCAGAGTGGGTATTGCTTCACTATTGTTCCCGCTTGACCCTTTGTTTTGTGCCTTAAATGGTATAACTTTTGCGCTGGGGTGAGTTTGGGGTGTTTTATGTACACAGCTGTGAACCACCAAAGAAATCTTGGGTGTCACAAGGCGGTACTTGAAGATAAACGCCAGACGACTCTGCTTTATTTTCTGAGGTGGTTGGGTTATTTGGTTTTGAGCTAGGAGTTTGGGGTTTTAATATTTCTAATGCGTCGTTCATCTCCGCTTTGCAATGTTGAAAGCTTTGCACACATTTATCATATTTCTGCTCTACCGCTTCGCTTACATTTGAGTAGGAGTCAGAGATGCTCACAGATTGGTATGTTTCGTATACCATTTCCCAATTTTGGTCGAGCTGAGACAGTTTTACTTTAATGAGGGACTCAGTTTGGTCGGCAAGTATAGAAGTTGACCATTTAGCACAAAATACCTCCAATCTGTTGGTTTCAAAAATAAATTTTTTAAATTCTTTATCTCCTCTGGATCTCGAGCTTTCTCCCTTCTTTGATTCAGAAACCTGCTTTGGGTCTGCTTCGAGAAGATCTTTGTTTCCTTCCATTTTAAAAAAGGGGTATTAAGTGAAGAGGGATGAGAATTTGGATTTTTAATAGGGCTAATTGATATATGTATGTAGAAAACAGTGAGTATTTTAAATGTATGTATATATGTACTTATGGGAGTGCGGGATGTGCTTAAAAGTACACATGTATATCAGTAAAAGAGATTATTATTATTTTTATTTTTCAAGGGTTGGTGGGTACCCTAATGTAGCAAGGGTGAATATATGTATGTACATATATATGTATATAATAGCGGGAATTTACATGGAGTGCCTATCTCTGTATATGGAAGGCAAAAACTTCGGTATGTAATACGTTTGCACGGCTCTTTTCCTAATTTAGTTTTATTATTGGACTTTTACCAAAATTATTACTATTATTATTTTTTTTTTCAAAATGTGTCTAATTAAGTTGTGTGCATATGCCTGCAGAGCTAATAATTCGAGTCGAAAAACAAATGTGTGTATGCATTTACGTATGTGTATATGACATATGCCCATATATGTATACATATATACTCATGGATAAGCTGCCATGTTTAGGTGCTTATACACCAGACATCTGCAGCGGGTGCATGATTTTCGTGTATACTCGATCATTTAACAAAACCCGTTTTGCATCGTTCTCTGTATACGAGCAGAAGTATTGTTCGTTATTGACTGAGCTCAAGACGAACATGTTGGCCACAACACCCGATTGCTTTTCATACATACTTGATTGGGTTCGGGTGCTTTGCAGCTCAATATACCCGGGTGTTCGAGTTTCAACCCGAGTGTGCACAAAATTTTCTTGATTGGCTTATGACGTTTTTGTTTCTACAAAATATGTTGCCTTCTCATCGCGGTGTTCTTAGTTTTTGTGCGTAGAGGGTAAAGAGAAGGTTGAATTTTTCGGTAGTTTGTTTAAGTGTACATTTAACCATTTCTTATATTTTTGCTCATACAAAATGCGGCATCACGACGCCTACATCCATTTAGGTATAAATGTGTGTAGATCGGCAATGCCCAAGCCCTATACACTCGGTGCACATTTATTTTTTGTAAAAGTACTTATGTATCTACATAGTTTTAGGCTGTGTTCTAATATATACACACACAGCTTTCCACGCGAAACTATACCAAATAGATGCAAAAACATTTTTGTCTACTTCGCTTCTAATTTTTTCATTGCGTATGCACAAGCACAAAGCAACAACATTTTCGTATGCTTTGTGGGAACATATTGGCGCCAGTTACCTTCAGCGTAAATTTCTTTGTTGTCCTGCATTTTATCGCAATGTTCGGGTGTCCGTTTCATTGTTACACAAATTTTCGGGTTAGCTGCGGGTGTCCGAGTGTGGTGTTCGCTTGTGCTCAATTTATAGCGAGGGTGATCGAACAGACTCGTTCGTAACCAAAGCAGCTGTCGGGTATGCATCTCGATCGAACACATAGTAGCCGAGTGTGGCGTTCGCTTGAGCTTGATTTTTAGTGAGTGTGATCAAAAAGGCTCGATCATACTCAAAGCTGTTCTCTGTTATACACCTGCATATGTGTTGTAATGCGAACGATTTGTTTCGAAGCACACTGTATTATTTGTGATATAAGAAATGATGCCGAAGAAGCAAATTTAAAATCTTAATTCAATATATATGTATGAAATATCTTTTATTTGTGTTGTTTTTCTAATTATTGTTTATTTGAAACTGAATTGGTAATGTTTTTTATTTTTATTCATAAAATTTTATTTTCTTTTCTCGGGAGCACGCTACCACCCGAAAGTATTTGCTGTGTTTGAATGTATGTACATATGTATATTCTTGCAGAGGAATAGGAACGATGGAGTTATTTGCAAAATCAGAGCAAGAGAGAGTATATATGAGTGAGTATGTATGTATGTATGTCGCATGCCTGTTTGCATGAAATACTGGGATTTTTCGGGTTTTGGTTTTGCACTAGAGGGTATCAAGGGCAAGTGTTCTATGTACGTACGTACGTTCGTGCATATATATGTAGATATTTGCATAAAAACAATTATGCTAAATGCAATTAATGTGGGGTAGGTTAGTATATGCCCGCTTTTTCGATATTCTATTGAAATATCAATTTAAAATGCATGTTATAAATATATACAGCTATAACGAACCGTTGTTGAGTTTATATTTATTTTACTTTTACATACATTTGTATGTACATAAATGGGGTATGTAAAATTTACCGCCAATTTTTGGCTTTGAATTATATACTATGTATGTAAATGGTGTGAAATTTTACTATAACTTTCTCATGTACATACAAATTTACATGTGTGCCTCTGTGGTTAAAATTAACCGGTAGCTATGTGTTTTTTGTTGTATTGTATGTACAAAAAGGGCGCGAAAAGTTGGCGAACTGATTATGTATATAGTATATATGTATGTATTTCTGTATTTTTTTTTTGATGTGCCAAAAATGCGCGGAATTTTCGCGAACTTTCTCGAAAATTGCAATTTGGCGAAGTTCGCTATAACTTTTTGAGGTGGAACACTACTTACTGCGATATATTTTTATGTCCTGTAACCTGTGTTCCGGTTGGGGTTCGGGCAGGGTTTTTTCCTTCTCTTCCTGGCTCCTTGTCTGCGTGTCACCTCTTCCAGGCTTTGAACGCCTTGCTGGGTCACTTAAACGCTTTCGTATCTTCTCGTTCTTTGTTTTTGAAGTCTTTTTCGTTCCGTGGTTAATTTTTGTGTATTTTATTAGAGTTCAAGCTGTTCTTTTTAATTATTAGTAAGCGTATACACCAGATTTGAGTTTTCACTTATCAAGTGCTTTGTTTTAAGTTTGTATTCTTTTTTCACCACACTATTTTCTTTGTATTTAGTTGTTTTCCTTGCAGTTTATGAATTTGGGATATGTTCATCAATAATATGTTTTTAATTAAATTAGTTTTAGATACTCGTTTTTTTTTCATGCGACCGTCACTGAATAAGTTTCTCTTCTTTGTTTAAATAGGTACGTGTGTAAAGTATCGCTATGCGTTGAATGCCGATTCTTTTTTAATTGACGGCGTAAAGAACCATGTTTAATATAGCGGCGCTATATTAAAGGGGGATTTTAGTCTGATGGAGAATTCAAAGAGTTCGGTTTTAATTCAATAGAGCGTTTAATCAATTCAATTTAGGTATACAATTATAAAAGTGTTTGTTTAAAGATTTAATGTCGATTGACTACTAGAGTTATATATTGAGTTTCAATTATAAAGTGAATTATAGAGTACGTTAACTTTAAGCAACGAAGAGGCACCTCCGTGCGTATAGACGTTCGCGTTGATAATAATTTCAGTTATTACATTTCAGTTCATAGCT